CTAAATGTCTTTCTGATTGGTTGAAGCAACATACCTGGGCATATAAGTCATTTGCTACGAGTACTATATCTTAGTGTTCAGCTTTTCAAAGAAGTTCAAAAAGCTTTCTGTAAAAGTCGTCTTTTAATTCCACCGGGCTGCAGTCAGTTAAGGCGAACAACACATAGGCGGCTGTTAACAAAGATCCATTCTAACAGTGCTTGTTCTGCCCTCGTACATAATGTCAGGTCTACAACCCTCAGTCCACGAGAACTAGGCATCTAGTCGCCAGATAAACGGAGGATGTATGTCGTCAGCTCTCCGTTTTGGCGAAGTGAGGTCGAGCAGATGTGTGATTTGGAAAAATATTGGAAACGAGGAAAAATCAATCTGTAATTAAAAGAGAAAACCAAGAACGGTTTCACAACGATTGTTTGAGAGTATTTATTATATTATGGAAAACAAATCAGGACATTGAGGCTAGATTATTCATAATGAAATATAATACAATTGTCCTATTGTAAGCAACAAATATATGCATGGACTAGACATAAATGAATCATCGGCCGTACCAGAGCATTTGGAGGATCAAAGAATTTGTACCTCTGACATGGTGGAAAAAGATGAAAAGTTACTGACTGATACATTAATAGCAAAAGCGCAAAAGTCAGTTGATGCCAAGACCTCTAATTTATTCAGTTCCAAAGAAAAAATGTTTATATCAATCTACCATATAGAAGCGAATCCAACAGCATAGTTTTAAGACAGAGATTGAAAGCAGCCATCGAGAATACCTATTATTACAATTTCTTATTCTTTCTCTCCCTCTTTGTTACTTTTTCACTTGGACTTTCATTTAATTGACCTTTATTAATTTTCATGTAAAAAATGCCCTGACAAGTATATGTGTGACCAGATTGTTCGAATGTATAAAGGAAATACATCACGTTTTTCAGATTAAATCCGTCTTCTCATTGTTCTATCGAAATTTATAAAAGGGACTAATTGCTTTAGAATTCTCTTAGATAAAAATTTCCATGACTCTTATGAAGAACTCAATAAAAAACTACAGTAGAAATGCTATTGGCTTCTATCACCAGCTAATTCAGGTAATGCCTCAGACCACTCAGCCATAAGCACTGACAGTTGCTAGCCCTTAACAGATTTCTTTCTAGTTATGACAGTATGTTACATGAGGCATGCTAGTTTACAGGCAAGATCAAATTGATACAAATGAAGCAATATACACTGTATTAAATTGCATAGCTGGAGTGATAATTTATAAGATATGAATGTAGATGGTTTTAATCATACTACAGTTGGCGCGCTTCGTGAAAGTTGCGTTGCGAATGTGCGTGTAGGGCCAGTGAAATGTCACTGAGCCCTAGCCAAATCATCCGGCAGTTGGATCACTGAATGTCGAACAGATCGTCGCTCCCTGCCAAGGTCATGTACTACAAACGCGCATTAGTTAATCATACGCCATGGACTGGCCCATGCGACAGTGGTCTTACTTTCGCCTGTATCTACCTTAACTAATATATTTCTGTAATAACGTCCTTTGTGTTGTACAGTCTTCAAAGCATCTATAGTACCTTGTTACGTCAATGGGGGTAGTCCACGTAAGGTGCTGACCACGAGGTGTGACTTCGACGTTAGTTGGTTCGTCACACCATTCACGTCTAACTGGAGTAGGTCTCCAATCATTTCGACATAGATCATCTACGTTGGTGATCTACACTGGTGAGAAAGACTTCGAATAACGCAACCTATCACTATAATCTTTATTATTGTACTCTATACTTATTCTTTTTCATTTTTATCATCGCCTATGTTAATCTGTTACTGTGAACTTTCGTTGCTTCATGTCAATGTTGATTAGCATTTAAACCTAGATAATTCGTTCAATCGACAGAACTAACCAATCAACTACGATTATAATCGGCTATCGTGGTTCTTTAACAAGCATTAGCAGCATGTAAATGCTCCTGTGTAATATGTCTGTTAAAATATCAACCACTCGTGAGTATAGCCACAAGGCAACACGAACGCATATCTCTTTGTACCTTATCCACTGGTATAAATAAGACAAGATTAACTATCGACTATAAATTCATCTTTCTGCTTAACCATTATCCACTAGAATGTTCTGCTTTTTTTTACCACTGCCTGCCTAATTTCCAATTGCTGAGTTCCATGGCCAAACAGAGGATACGGATGCTAGAAATTCACGGTGAGTTTGAACTATAAATTTCCTGCGATCTTAGATCTCATTTAGACTGTTCGTCAGGTAATGCTATGTATTCGGCTTACATTAATTCTGGACTTATACAAATTCAGTCTACAACGCTGTGTTAATCGAAAAATTTAATCAACAGTACCTCGTACATAATCCAGATTCAAACTACTGCCTACTTCATTACTTAAAGGCAAGATTAACCCAGGCGAGTTTCATAATTTCATTAGATTATTTCGTACTATATTTATGATGCGTGATAACATTTCGTAGTTGCTTTCACGTAAACTAGTCATATATTCTGTCACTGCCGTCAAGTTTTAGTCGAAATCATGTACATTTATGACTCGTTAGTCGATATACTGTGGTAAAACATATTGCATGTACACGAGCACGCTTAGTCCATGTCCCAAGTACACACGTTGTCGTACTTAATATGTCACTTAACGCTAGGTAATAAGCTCTTTGTATCAGCCTTTTACGAAATGGCCACGTTACCTGGACCCTCTAAACCTTAGTTACATTGGTGGTTACCATTTTAATTAATGTTTATTATACCCCTTGTATTTGCTATTAATTCACACGGTAAATCATGGCTCGATTTCTTTATTACACGACAGTCATTTTAATTCTATTTTCGGTTTATTTACATGCGATACGGGTTTGGAAAATATCTAAACGTCCTCGAAAATTCTCCACGAACCCAACCGTAGTTTTCGTATATGCTTTTATTCACACATCCAACAGTTACGCTAATCATACCTAAACGAACGTTCAGTGCAACTGTCAGTATACGTAAGAACGATGTTATTTAGACTTGACATTGTAACACATCTGAACTATTGTAGTTGTTCTACTTCGATGTCGTACTTCATTTTATGAAGTATTGTTTCCTCGTGGCTGTTAATTAACAGATGATTCCGGTACATCAATAGGCTGTTCAACTACTCGACGATTTACAACCTGTCCAGTTCAATTGGTGGTCTGACGACAATATCATTCGCGCGAATCACCAGTTTATGCAGTCGAGCGAATCTCCTGCAAACTGAAAACGATATTGTCGCCTCTATCCCAACACTGACAGCGTTTTTCACGGGTATCATTGACATGAGTCCAGAGTGACACCCTTGGTTTCTTATGTTCTTTTCGATATTTTTCTGTTCACTAACCGAACAATCACGCAGCATTCACCGTTTATCATCTTTTAGAGACTTCATCGTGCCACCTTTGCTGTGGATTTGTAGCCTTCAACCCTTACTGGCTGTAACAGCAGTCATCGACTTTTCAAACTGTGACTACAAGTTGGTCAATAGCTTCGCACAACGAAATAACGACCACTCTTCACTGTTATACTTCTGTACTTACGGTTAGTCTGTTAGATATAGATATAACTAGAATTCGACACTAATTAATAGCTGTCAACGACACTGTCCGACTTACAACTTTAAACTAATGACAGTACAAATATGGATATCGATTGATAATACACTTATCCTACTATCGCTATAGCATCATTACTCTTGCGGCAGACTTAACGTTCGTCATCGGAGGAACTGAATTGCTTGTCAAAGCTATATATTTCAGCGCGACTTGATAGAACAGTTAAACGCTTTGTTCTTTTCATTATTTCTATGGTTAATCAATTTACGTTTAAGCAACGTCCTACTAACATATTATGACTCGCTGTTTCCCGACCAGTTTCTGCCGCCTCCTTTCCATTTGTTTTACAGATAAGCAATACCTGGAGAATTTATAATATTCGTTTGGCACTCTCCGGCGCGCGATTGCTCCCAACATGTTTGGTACCGATTCAAACGGCCGCTGAATCTGGTGGGGGAGTATTGTAGGGCCAGTGAAATGTCACTGAGCCCTAGCCAAATCATCCGGCAGTTGGATCACTGAATGTCGAACAGATCGTCGCTCCCTGCCAAGGTCATGTACTACAAACGCGCATTAGTTAATCATACGCCATGGACTGGCCCATGCGACAGTGGTCTTACTTTCGCCTGTATCTACCTTAACTAATATATTTCTGTAATAACGTCCTTTGTGTTGTACAGTCTTCAAAGCATCTATAGTACCTTGTTACGTCAATGGGGGTAGTCCACGTAAGGTGCTGACCACGAGGTGTGACTTCGACGTTAGTTGGTTCGTCACACCATTCACGTCTAACTGGAGTAGGTCTCCAATCATTTCGACATAGATCATCTACGTTGGTGATCTACATGCGACTGATGGTCAAGGGTAGGTCCATTGAAGGTATGAGCTTCTAGAAATCGCAACCTTATGTCCCTTTGGGATATCCAAGGCTTTAAGGATGGTGCAGTATGAAGTCACCCGTTCCCTATATCAAGGGGGCTGAAAGAGGGGGCAAGTAAAAGAAAACACGAGAGGCAGTGTAGCCAATATTCATGAAGGAATGTTTTAGGTATGATTACTCAGTCTAATTTACTTTTATTAAAGTATTTGTTAAGAAAGAGCATTTCAATAGGCCAAAGAAAATAAGTGTTAGCAAGGTGTGAGTGAACATACAACTGACAAATGGAGGCGATTCGGAAAAGAGCTGAGAGTATAAGATTATTTGTGATTATAAAATAAAATATAGTGCTAGAAACAGTATTGTGATATGCAACTGGCCATCTTCCTTTTATTATCGAAGCTATTAGAGCCCCTTTAGTTTTTTTTGTATTTTTCCCCCCAGTATCATAGGGTCTTGAGTAGGCTTCGTATATTAGCGAACTGTCTAGTTTGCTTGTAATAGGATTTCTGGGTAGGAAGTGGAACCAATTCAACGTTCGTAACACGATTTAAAGAGGTATTTTGCGTGATAAATCAGCTTCAATACCATAAGTCCGTGACATCACTCTAAACCATAAGGAGCCGTAATTAAACAAAATGTTCTGCCCTACAGACATGGGTGGATTGAATTTATCTCCCCACCATCATGTTTTCTGGTCAGTAACGCCACCCTCCCTTCTTTTGTGATGTTAGGCTCTCTTACGTTTGTGGTAAGTATGAATACTGCTTTAATCAAAGCCCATAGTTGGAATACACTGTCTCTAATAGGTCCATGTTACAAGCAAATCAGATAGCTGAAAAGTCTTTTATGGGTTAGATGTCCATATAGTATATCACACTGCTATGAAAATAACTAATGGTTTAAAGAAGTAAGGACTAATAGTAAATCAAAAGATATGAGGGTATAAATTTGTAGAAAAAGAAAGATTTCAGGGTAAGACAAATAAAACATTGAGAAACTCACAAGACTTTGTAGCCAGATTTTGAGCTTTGAATGATCGGCCTTAGTAGATCAGCATCCATAAGATTGAGCTATCTGTCTACTTGCAGTAGAAAAGAAGGCATGACTTTTAGAAAGAATAATGTACATTTAACCTGTAGAGATTTGGGGACTGAAGGCTAGGGTTAGGAGCATGAAGTCATGATTAATAAACAATAAATAATAGGAAAGGACAAGCCATATATTCTGTGATCTGGTTATATTCATATTTGTAACAGTCGAACTTGTTATAATTTTGTTCTTTCTAGATACTAGGCGGTCCGTAATAAAGTGCCTCATTGGTGGGCGGGAGTTCAAGGAAATGTTGAAGCTCTTTGGAGTCTAGAAATAGGGTTATTAGCTTTTGGAATCTGGTAGACGTATCACAGTTACGGATAGGCATTGGCAGCCTGTTCCACAATAAACTGTACCGTACTGTAAAGAACTTACAACGCATTTGTTTTTGGTGTTTTACGGTAAGTAGTGTATATGCGTTGTTTCTAAGTCTATAGGCTGGGTTGTGGGTGATAGTCGGGCAGGAGGTTAGAAAGGAGCCCATATATCGCTTTGTAGAGAAATATTAAATTGGTTTTTAGCCTACGGTGCCATAAAGGTTCTAAAGATAGATGCTTACATCTGTCTGGGTAATCGAGATTCGAGTTACATCCTAGTAGTTGACGTGTGAAACGTCTTTGAACATCTTCTACTCTTATCTCTGTTGTGAAAAAGTTTTTCATTATAAAACCAATTAGCCGTCTAGATTTAGAAATAATAGAGGAGGCATGTTCTTCAAAGTTCAGGCTTCCTGTGTAATTAATTGCTAAGTCGTGTACTGATTCGAGTGTTTGGACTCTACATTCATTTAAGTGAAGTCGCGGTTTATAGGGATGCTTTCCAAAGTGCATGATCCCGCACTTGTTGAGGTTAAACGGTAATTGCCATTTTTCACTCCATATAGTTAAGTTATTGAGGTCCTTTTGGATCTGGGATACACTTTCGCTTAGTGTCTCAGGCTTATAGCCGTATACTATTTTGAGATCATCAGGATATAAGTACGGTTTCCCAAATTCTATGGTGTTACATATATCGTTTATATACATAAGAAACAAAAGTGGACCTAATACCCTTCCCTGGATGACTCCACTGGTGATTGGTCTAGGGGACGAGAGACAGTCATTGTACTTTACCATCTGTTTACGTTCTGTTAAGAACGAATCAAACCATGAGTACAGTGGGTTGTGTATTCCGAAGGACTTTAGTTTGACGAGTAGCCTTTTGTGTGGGACCTTATCAAAGGCTTTCTTAAAGTCTAGGAATAGGACTGATACAAGGAGTCCGCTGTCTCGTTTCAGAGTTATATCATTCAGGTAGTCTACTAGGCATGTGTCGCATGATCTAGACCTAAGAAATCCATGCTGGGAGGTCGAGATGAGATTATTAGTTAGTGGATGTTGGACTACAGCCGCCTTAACTACTTTTTCCATCACTCTGGATACCACTGAAGTTATGTTTATAGGCCGGTAATTTTCAACGTTTGCTTTATTTATTTATTTATTTATTTATTTGAACATAAATATTGGTACAAGAGAGCGCCAATATATATGCGCCACACAAAACAATGAGAATTCGAAGAGAAGTAGAAAGAAAAAAAAACTAATGAACGCAAAAGAAAAGGAAAACGATGACGAAGAGATTGGAGTAAGGTAGTGTGGTAGTAACGACGGAACGAAAAGGTACAATCAGAAGAAATCTTTCAGGTAAAGGAGACAACCACTTTTTATGAAGAAAGTAAAAGAAGGTTACAGCAGGATCGCCACTGGCTTCTATTCTGAGCCATATCTGATAACGTCTCTAGCCACTGTGTAGCACCATCTCTCGGACCCCAGCCAGGGAGTCGTGAAGGACCAACACAAGCCAGTCCTTTGCAGCTTTCTTTCATGCCACGACACCATGTCATGCACTGACCACCTCTCCGCTTCTTCCAACCAGTCCCAGAGTCGGCAAATAATGCACGACGTGGAATTCTCTGGGACGACATTCGGAGAACATGTGGGGAGAGTCCGCTCTCCCTCTCGAAATACTCTCACACGGCCACGCGTATACAGCCTCTGCCAGGGAAGTCCTACTCATTGCCTTCTCGTGGCGGGGGTGTTGTTTACGAAAATGAGAGGACGAAAAGCGAATGTCCGGCGCTTTAACCGGATTCCAAATCAATGGTGCATATGGGCTCCAGTATCCTGCGGGTACGAATGGGGTATGAACCAATCGTTGGTCACCGGCTACCATGGGACTGCATCTCCTTACGATGCTCCACTGCCTTGTGGGTTAGACCTTTAGGTCAAAGGCTCGGGGAGTGGCCTCCTAAGATAACCACCTGCTTCGGTTTGGGCACCCGGGCAGTATCACAGCCCACACACAAATTGATGAACTCTTTATGCCTATGGAAATTACCTTTCTCGCTTTGAAAAACAAACAATTGATTCAGATTATTATCATTACAATTATTGTCATTATTAATACTAATATTATTATTACTACTATTATTGTCATTATTGTTATTATTATCATTATTATTATTATTATTATTTTCCACATTATTCACCCTCTTTTATACTTATACAGCGGCTCGTCTTTGGTGGAAATCCGACTGTATCTAAACGTTCTCGAGTCACTGTCCGGTTTAAAATTGTATGTTACCACCGAATACGAGGACTGAAGCAGATTTTCTGAAACCACGTGCACCATTCAAACTGGCTGCCTTCAACGTTCGCACATTTATGCAGGTCGGACAACAGATAGGGCTGGCTATGTCTTTGGAAAGTCTTAATATCGACGTGTGTTGTCTATCCGAGACCCGTATTCAAGACTGGCGAAGTACTACAAATTCGATCTCCATCTGTCGCTTCGAAAAGCTTGTTTTACGTGCGCTTATCCAGGGACCCTGTGGCATCTTCGTCTGGTCTTGCTGGCGTCGGTGTCGCACTAAGCGCTAGAGCTGAGGCAGCACTAGTCGATTGGATCCCCATTAACAGTTGGTTATGTGCTGTTAGATTAGAAAGTTCCATCAAAGTGAGAAGAAATCGGCGTGAGAAACGATGTCTTTTCGTCATCTCCGCCTATGCCCCGACAGATTGCAGCCCGGATGCAATCAAGGATGAGTTTTACCACCAGTTATCAGTTCTTCTCCAGAAAGTGCGTTCGACAGATATTGTAGTACTAGCCGGAGACTTGAATGCTCAGGTCGGGCGTCTAGGCACAGAAGAGAGTCGTTTAGGTGGCCGATGGGGACTCGTTGGTCGCAGGTCAGATAACGGGGACCGTCTACTGTAACTTTGCACAGACCACAACCTGTTTCTGGCTAGCACTAACTTTCGGCACAGTCATCGCCGATGTGCCACCTGGCGTCCTCCCTCTGCATCTCAAGCCTGGACTCAGATTGATCACATCGCGATCAGCTACCGCTAGCGTGGTTGTGTACAAGACTGCCGCTCCTTTTGGAGTACCTATCTGAACTCTGACCATGCCTTGGTCTGCGCCAATCTTGCCTTACTTTTCAGTGGACAACGAAGTGAACGCCATCAACGGATTGATGTTAGCAAGCTGGTTGCAACTTCTGTTGCAAGTAAGTATCGAACCGAGCTAGCCTCTAGGCTAGCTACCACTCCACCGAAAAGTATAGATGAGCATTGGTTGCAATTGCATGACGCCATGAAAATGGCGGGAACAGTCAGTTGTGGGTTTGCGAAACGTCCCGCTTTTAAGCACAGGGTTTCTCCTGGCTCCTTACAACTCATTGAAGCCCGTCGGTCTACTCCGGGTGACCGTGAGTTTGACCATAAACGAAGGATGTTACGTGAGGAAATTGGGCAAAGCTTGCGTAAGGACCGAGAAGCCTGGTGGTCGATGTGTGCTAATGAGCTGGAAGCAGCAGCTGCATCTGGTAACTGCCGGAAGCTCTTCCAACTCATCCGAGCCACTGGCAGCAAGAAGTCTGGTGTGAGTGAAACAATCTGCGAGGATGATGGGATGCCAATCACTAACATCCATCGACGTCTTGGACGATGGGCAGAATTTTTCGAAGGGCAGTTCAACTGGCCTGCTGCTTCGGCAACATTGGTCAGACTGTCCTGCCCTCCATGGCCGGTGACGACTGATCCACCAAATGAGGAGGAAGTCCGCAAGGAACTCCAACTCTTGAAGTGTTACAAATCACCTGGCCCAGATGACTTACCTCCGGCTCTTTTTAAAGATGGTGGTGACTTTTTGACTAAAAAATTGACGACGTTGTTTACAAAGGTGTGGGAACTAGAGAGTGTACCAACGTCATGGAATGAGTCGATAGTTGTCCCTATCTTTAAGAAGGGTTCACGTCGTTCTTGTAACAACTATCGGGGGATAAGTTTACTTCCGATTGCGTCCAAGCTATTGGCTTCCGTCATTCTTCGTAGGTTGTTCAAAACCCGAGAAAGATTGACTCGCGAGGAGCAGGCTGGGTTTCGTTCTGGTCGAGGATGTATTGATCATATCTTCACCCTCCGCCAAATATTAGAACTCCGCCATACTTATCAAAGGCCAACAATCGTAGTGTTTCTTGACATCAGGGCTGCCTTCGATTCGTTGGACAGGACTGTTCTCTGGGATTGTCTATTGAAGAAGGGTGTGCCTGAGAAGTTTATTAACATCCTAAAAGCCCTATATACAAACACCTCAGGCAGAGTGAGGGCATACAACCACCTCTCTCCATTGTTCCATTCGAGCAGTGGGGTTAGACAGGGTTGCCCAATCTCACCATTCCTCTTCAACTTTGCCATCGATGACATTCTGGAAACAGCTCTGATGAATGTAAGTAATGGTGGTGTGGATCTGTTGCCTGGAGAAAGACTTCTCGACCTTGAGTATGCGGACGATATTGTCTTACTGTGCGATAATGCCCAAGGTATGCAATCCGCACTTAATCAGTTGGCAATCAGTGTCCGTAGGTATGGTATGTTCTTTGCACCTTCGAAGTGCAAAGTACTTCTACAAGACTGGCAGGATTCTAATCCTGTACTCACCCTGGATGGTGAGCAGATAGAAGTAGTCGAGAAGTTCGTGTATCTGGGTAGCTGCATAAGTGCTGGTGGTGGTGTGAGTGATGAGATCAATGCACGAATAGTGAAAGCCAGAGCGGCTTATGCCAATCTGGGCCACCTTTGGCGCCTTCGTGATGTTAGTCTGGCTGTAAAAGGCCGGATCTACAACGCGTCGGTGAGAGCAGTTTTGCTCTATGCTTGTGAAACCTGGCCTCTCCGAGTTGAGGACGTTAGACGACTCTCTGTGTTCGATCATCGCTGTCTCCGAAGGATTGCTGACATTCAGTGGCAACACCATGTCAGTAATGCAGAGGTTCGGCATCGTGTGTTCGGGCACAGAGATGGTAATTCAATTGGTGTCACCATCTTGAAACACCGACTTCGGTGGCTTGGACATGTTCTCCAACGTTTGCTTTAGGTCCTGTTTTAATTTCGGGAATGATATGTGTAGTTTTCCAGGCAGTAGGGTAACACGCTGAAGAGAGTGATATCGCGAATAGTTTGAGAAGCAAAACACACATATCATCACCTCCACGTTTTAGCATGCTAGATCGAATACCATTTGGTCCATCAGTGTAGGAGTGTTTCAATGTACTGATTGCCTTGGAGATATTTTGTACACTGATTTACCATCATCCCCTAATACTTAAGCGTCTAACCTCACTATTACTCACCCCGTGATCCCAGTAGACACTAGCAGTACTTATAAGACATCTGTGATCAAACACTAAAAACGTAAGACGTCGTTTCTCACACCGTATTTAAACTTGATGTAATAAATCCTGAATGGGGAGCTAAGTTATAGCTTGTTTTTATTTAATAGACGGTTTGAAAAAATTCGAATCTCAAATTCGTGAACTGGAATCAAATGTTATTGATTTTCAGCGGGAAAAATCCAAGCTTTTGGCAGAACACAGTAATGAAGAATTAAAAGAGTATGCTTGCATTGTGTTTTGTATCTTTCATGAAAGATCCGTTTGATAAATATGAGAAAAAGTGTTCAGTGTAATCGATCCTTATAACACTGCCATTTACTATGCGTTTTTATCTGCTTGTCGTATTGTGTGCTGTTTATAAATATATTCTACACATACTCTAGGTATTAAACTTTCTCAGTGGATGATAATTCGAACATACGGACGTATCTTAGACGTGGATTTGATTTAATGCACTTTCCTAATCAAACTCCAGTTTACTTGATCAATCGTCTGTGTTTTAAGGTTTTTAAGCGATATCTAGTGTGTTGATTCATATAACTATCGCTTGCTATAATTAGATAATCAATAAATTTCACGATACCTTTCATGTTGATTTTTCTTTACAAAAAATACAACGCATAGTGCTTATCATGGATTCAAACCATATTCTTCACTTTATTTCATGTATTCCGATCATTATTTATATATTTTAAGGTTTCACTGTTGGTGATTACTGACGTACGGCTTACTGTATATATGTACCGGTTCAACTTGTCACACCTGGTCAGCCCATCGAGAGGAAATCAATAGGACCATAAACATAGAATGGTAAATGACCCCTGATTTAGCAAAAGCCTAATTACAATAAGCAGTTCAAAAATAAAGAACAATTTGTTTCAAGGTTAAATAGTTGTTGATGGTACCTAACTCAAATCTAGTGGATATCGAAGTTTGGCACGGACTAGCGGGTAAGCCAGGGATTTTCGCGCACACGTTACATATTGTCGTGGATTTTTTGTGTCGTTATTTATCAGCTATTAACAGGCTTTTTTGCATGACACATCAATTTCTGTATTGCTAGTGCTTGTAACATAGTTTTATTCCAATTTATTGGCAGTTTGACGTATTTCTTGCTCACCACGTAAGTAAATCTGAAGTTAGCTTAATATAGTTATTTGTAACAATACAAACTCAAGCAAGTAAAGTTCACCGTTTTTCTAGTCAAAAAATACACCACAGATTGAGTTTTCATGAAAATGAACCGTAAAATCTTTTACATATGGTTCACCTCCTTGATTGCGGTGACGGTGAACATGGATGTCGGTAGTTGTTTATAAAATGTAAGTAGAAGCAATCAAGCGTTAACCTAATTGTGAATATTATATAACTTGCTTGTATTTAGCCATAAAAGGTTATATTTATTAGAGGTACCATTGTTTTGTACTGAAGTGACATAATTACGTAACGTATCTGAGAAAAGAAATATGTGAGTAACAATTGACGTTTATAGTGTTGTCCAGCGGCTTTCTGAACGTCTGCAGTAATAGTGTATAACACCACATCAAGTAGGAACAAAATCTTCATGAATAAAACGATCGGTGTTTCTTGTGAGAATGGTGACACAACCATGTTTTTTAGTTAATACTGATTTGTGAGGTGTCTGTTATAGGGTTCACAAATGAGTTATTATATACTCTTCACTCCGTCTCGGTAATACAGTTGTTGTGTTACTTAGGAAGTTATGAATGAATGTCACTACTTGTTAATAAAAGACTTATAAGCACAGTCTGTTACTTGCTATTTGAATAATTTATTGAATATGATACTGAGAACAAAGTTTAATTGTTTGTCTCAAAACGGATTTGTTGTTTTTCAGAATAGTATGAAGCTTATGGAATTTAGGATTACGGAAGATCGTGTGGAAAACCGGTTTACAAGTTTACGATAACTGTTTTATATTACCTACTGCTATGCTCATTCATCTAATGAATTATTTAAATATAAATATAACAACCATACGCAGTGTTTTATATTATAAATCCTGTAAGTTTGTATAATTATGGTCTAAATAAAGCCAAAACAAATATTGACGCAGAATCATGTGACTGCATTACATTTCGTGGTTTCTCATAAGTTGCATACAACTGAATATGCATTATAATTTAAGATTGAGGGAAGAAATAGTATGAAAGATAATAGAAAGCAAAGAATTGGAATGACCTAGGTTATCAATAATAACTATACATATGTATATGCTTGAACAGGTCAAAGGTCATTTGGTGTTAGACTTAAGGGAACATAAAGGATGGGTGGTGTAATAGTCGAGTGAAGCTCAGAAGCATATAAGATAAATTGTGTGATAATTCTAGATGTAATGAATAAATCAGTGAATTAAGAACTAATAAGATAAGTGAAGACAATCTGAAGAGTTAACATAATTTAGCAAAGAAGTGTGGGTGGAAAGATGGTCTAAGGATTACGTAATCCATCTTATCAAGGAACTAGCTGCATGAAATTATCTAGTTCCATACTAATACTAACTTGATAATGGACGTAATCTGACAACGGAAAATATGTAAGGCGGTTTAGTCTGTAAGGTTTTACGTGGAAGTCGCATTATTGTTTTATTCGACTCGTTGATTCCTCACAATGAACAACGATATAACGCTAAGTTCTAACGACAGTTCGTAACTAATACAGTAGTACAAATTCTTAATTTTCATACACAATTATTCGTTAAAGCGATTGGTAAACCTCCCCATGAAAGTATGAAGAAGACGAAAATAAAAAATGAGAAAAAGTTTATTGATTTTTCATGACTACTAAAGTGGAAAGATAAGTTTACAAGTTGTATAAATAGCCACAAAGAACTGTTAATCGTAAACCTGCTGTCTAGCTGTTTATAATTCTTAAGTAAAAATTGTAGACTTTTCTCTCCACCTGATTCGCGAAGCGTTCACCATATTTCTCAACAATTTGTTGTTTGCACATTCTTTGGAGCCGTTGAAGTTGTATATATTCTTTACTCCGTCTCGGTAATGAAATTCCTGTGTTGTTTTGTAAATTGTGCGTATTGTCTAATTTCCATCTGCAGCAACACCTAAGAAGTTGATGAGCTATGCAGTTTATATTTTATAATTTAAATAGCTTACCTGTTAGACTTCGTCTTTTAATATATGCCAGCAGGAGATGGCGGCACGGATATCGACACATATTAAACGTGCTACAATTGCATTCACAAATACTTACATCCACTTCGTAATGAAAGGCGCACAAAATAATGTTTGCATGCCCGTGCGTTATACGGACAGCCGCGCTTTCAGATCGTGCGAAATTCATCACAAATGTTTCTGTTTTGGTCGTGTTACCCATTATCTCCTTGAATTTATCCAAAACCCACGTAACATCGGCAGGCTTTTCTTTTTGTGTCCATGCAAACACAACAGTTCGACCTCGGCCCCAACTGTCTGTCACCACTAACTGGAATAATGAATATCTACATAGTAGAACAAAACGAAAATCATATTCACTTTTTATTATTAGTTTTATAAGTAGAATCAATACACACGACTTCGGGATATTGACTGTACAGCCGTATCTGATCATAACTGCTGAAGCATATCGCCGTAATACATCCATTTTCTGCATGCTCTCTAACTTCACCGTTTTGTCGCATCATCTGCAATACCTGCTTCCGAGTTCAACCTGAAATATATTTATATACACTTACCAGTGGAGAGTTCAGCTTTCATATTTTTTACATCAGCAGAGGTCACCTGCTTACCTGTTCTTTCCTTAATACTTTCGATAACTTCGTCCGTCGACTGACAGTGCAATATAACTGGTTTCAAGTTTTCTTTTTCTTCTGATGACAATCGTTTACTCAACGGATCACAAACCATCCACGAACTAGTACACCGATGGTTGTGAGACATGTCGTAAGATTTTATAACGTATTGTTGACCCTCCAATCTTACGCGAAACATCGATTGGCAATTTAAAAATTTAGACCTTAAATGTAACACATTAGTTAGAGTCCTCACGGTTTTTTATTCACATTCAGACCTTCTGATTTACGTTTACGACCAAACGTGCAACGAAACACTACGAACAAGTATTTATATCTCACATCCTTCAACAATCTACTTTCTGCGTGAACATAGTGTGTATGGGTCATCTGAGAAAACATAGGTTTATCCTATCATACTTTAATCCAGCTTCCGAATCTCTTGTTCAGCATAATACGTTGGAACGCGTCGCTTACGTTCACTGAAATTTCACTTGAGCATGAAGCACTAGAGACAACATACAATAGTTATTAAAAAAAGGTTATTCCTTGAAAAAAATTAACTGAAGGAAGAACAACAAATATTTAGGACTTACCCTTCAGTTGACACTTCGTCTTAACTCACAGAAACTAGGCGCATCTATAACCTTTTACGTTATTTTATCTTTCTTACGTTGTTTTCTGGACCTTATCAACAAATTATATATAGCTGTTGACTTCCACTACAGCACTTAGGACCACAGATCAAGTTTCGAAGGAACAACAGAGCTAAAATGTGCACTACAAAACAGAAAATACTCAGTTAATGCTCTTAGCAGTTATTTAGTGTTTATTATGCATCAAAAGATGACTTATATATGGAAACATTTAATACTCATAGGACCCAACACACACACGGCAATTGAAATACGGATTGCCCGCTTCCAGTCAGCGCGTTCAAGGTCGTTGAAACGAAACGGTGGACAGATTTGAAAGGGATTACCGTTTATACCTTGCCTCGAAGTTTTAATAACTGTGCCATTGTGACTAGTTTTCAGTCGTCACACTTAACATGTTCAAAAACGATTTCGAAGTTGCACTTTGATTCATGTTAATTGTTAATGATTAAGATCATGTCTACGAAAATTGGGAGTTTTATTTTATGCGGAAAAGTGATGGGTAGTCGGTTCAACTGCTAAACCGTTGGGTTACGAGGTTCAATCTTTTCACAATAGCGCTCTCTGAAGTCATTTTTTTGCAAAATTTATTACGAACACCCGATTGGTAGTTGCCTCAACCATTTTTATGAAGATTTTCATCCAAACGTAACGTCGCTACGTCAAACCTTATCAGGTAACCATTAATAAAATGGTATGGTCTAAGTTTTTATTATACCAAATTTAATTGTTAACATTTTTGAAAACTCAGTTCCAAAACGCAACGAGAAGCACGTCTTAAGACTATGGAACAAGAAATAAATCAGACACGTCGTCAACTAACTGAATTATTGCGTTTAGAGAAAGCTAACGAGGCTAGAGAATCGGAATGTTTAAGATTAAGAAACAAAATACAGTCGTTGAGCTCTTCAGTGATCCGATCAGCTAATGAACTGAAGGAAGAAAGCACTGCTTATCGAAAATGGCGTAAAGAAAAGGAAACTGAGGTTGGTTGACTTTTTTCTATCTACCTTTAACATTTATGTTATGCATTGCTCTGTAAATTTGTAAAAATAAACCGATGATTTGTTTTAAGATGATTTGCTGCGTTCTTGGGGTGAAACCGTAACCATTGAAGTTCAACCTTTTCGAGAGTAAAATACTTCTGCATAGTGGTTGTACGATATTTACGATGTCTAGAAAAATATCAAATATTTGATTCATACTCAGTACTTTTAACGATAACCACAAGATTTAAACATCCTAGGTCCCAATCCCTAAAAGAACAACTCTTCGCTTTGGAAGATTGTCGATCACAAACTACGTTGTGATGTAAAATGTGAACAACTGATCTACCTGCACCACTGAGCCTGATTTTAACCCATGTCACTAGAGGTCTTCAATCACAGATCATAATGCCCTGGTAGGACCGAGGGTGGGGAGAGTCCACTCTGCCTCTCAAAACGCTCTCACATGGCCACATGTATACAGCCACAGTCAAGAAAGTTGTACTAATAGCCTTCTCGTGACGAGGGTATTGTTTACGAAATCGAGACGACGAAAAGAGGATGTCAGGTGCTATGTGCAACCGTTCAAATGCACTAGTAATCACTAAAAGTTATACATGTGATGACAAATGAACATGCAGCTTGGAAAACTTTCACATGAGAGGAAACTGACGAAATTAATATTCATTTAGGTAAACAGGGTTTGTAGAGATTATTAAGTTTGAAAGAATAGCATCACAGACTCAACTTAAACAACTATTGAAAATCGAAAGGCAGTAAACAGCTGTGTTTTCATGGTATGGGACACCTCAATGGTACGTATTCGTGACCCGGAAAGAGGAAATCGAAACCAGGACCTTTGGTTGTACGCGCGAGCTCTTAAGATTTTGAATGCTGAGCCGGAAGCCAACAGTGCACCTGTCTAGCTTCAACAGATTCACTATGGTATATGACTATCTTCTATTGCCTGTCGTGGATAACTGTCTCGAAATCAGCATGGTTGGAATTCACCAGTCATAACTTCTCACCAGTGAGCACAGGATTATTGTTGCTACACGGATTTTGTGGAAAGATGAAAAATACATGAAGTATCCCACTTAATAAGAATGTTTACACAAGATACTGATTAGCTCGAAAGTGCTTTAAACATTTCACTGTCTTTCTGAGTTTTGAGGAAACAAATATTATCACTACTGTATTTCCAGACCATTCATAACTTTGACAACGAAATGTTCACTACTAACAATAATAAACTATCTACTCATGAGTAAAAACTCTCAGTAAACCTACTGCAGCTAATGATCTTATCGTCATTAATTTATCGTGCTGAATTTTACAAGCATCTCGTAGTTCAGCATTTTCTTTTTTTAACTGGTCAATGTTTTCATTAGCAGCTTGAAGCCGAGATTGAATGTCTTTCATCTAGACATGAACAAACAACGACAAGACACTAGTAAGTACGTGAATAGACTAGTAATGGTGGTTAGTATTTCCTCACAAATGTTTTGCAACAAAGAATGATAAACTAAGAGTGGAATTAAGGGGATAATAAATCGCGTGATCAGAATGGGAGTCTGTGCCGTTTGGTGTGCCTGAAATGTGTCAGGCATGTTCAGCCATCGACTGTACGGCACTTGAGTAGATTGAGAAAGAAGTTTAATATGATTGGACCAATGAATAGCATCTGGAACATAGACAGTATCAACAAACATGGCTCAGACCAGAAGTTAGTGACTTCAAGGACTGGTGCAACGTTTTGGTTTGGACGCCCTAACTTCCTCTCATCCATCTCCAACACTAGTCAGCTTTGGGCACCATGATAATCCTTCTCCAACACTATGCGTTGTATTTTTTGTAAAGATAAATCAACATGAAAGGTATCGTGAAATTTATTGATTATCTAATTATAGCAAGCGATAGTTATATGAATCAACACACTAGATATCGCTTAAAAATTTTGAAACACAAACGATTAATCGATTGATGAATTTATCGATTAAATGTTTGAATGTATCAACGATAGTCAATTGACGAACTTATTATAGAGTGAGAAGCTTTTGATTTGTGCTGAATTAAATCATACTGTCGAAAAATGCAGGAATTATACAGAAATCGTTCCGATGCTGATCATTTACATGATACTGTAATTTCTGAACTCCAGAAAATCGAATCCATTCTCAAGTAATTTCTCATATTTATTTTAACAAAAAAAATATAATTACAGCTCCTTAAATCAATTTGTTAGAGATAAATTCAATGAATATTTTGAAGTGATTAGTTATATTGAAGAATTGAAAAACATCCAAACTGGATTGATAAAACTATTTGATGAGTCGAATAAAGTAAGTTCGTGGTGAAATGATTTTTTGGATATATTTATCACTTTGCTTATCCTACCCCTTAATCTGTTATTCTTTTGATTTTCGTATCAAAAATTCTATATCAATGTGTGGTGCTTGTACAGATGATCAGGAATAAAACCTACTTTACTTATTGTTCTAGTTATCCCCCATATATCAGCATAGAGTGTTTACAATCCTGTGTGATTGGGATATACATACATTAATAAGATTAAATCACCTTAATTAACAATTAATGACCATTTAAATTGAAGTGTTAAGTTATTGGCAATCTTTATTGTTTGATATAGTTGATTTCATTTGCAACATGATCGATAGCATTCGATCTGCACTAATAAGGACTAGACAAGCATGAGATTGATCACCACCTAGTGATCAATCAATTGAGTTTTGTGTCTCTTCTCGTTTAACACAATAACATTACAAATCAAGATTTAGAACATGCTTATAAACAGTCGTCTGATTTTCTAGCTGAATTTCAATCAGACAACTATTTATAAGCATGTTCTAAATCTTGATTTGTAATCTGTTATTGTGTTAAACGAGAAGGGAAACAAAACAAATGAAATCAACTATATCAAACAATAAAGATTGCCAATAACTTAACACTTCAATTTAAATGGTCATTAATTGTTAATTAAGGTGATTTAATCTTATTAATGTATGTATATCCCAATCACACAGGATTGTAAACACTCTATGCTGATATATGGGGGATAACTAGAACAATAAGTAAAGTAGGTTTTATTCCTGATCATCTGTACAAGCACCACACATTGATATAGAATTTTTGATACGAAAATCAAAAGAATAACAGATTAAGGGGTAGGATAAGCAAAGTGATAAATATATCCAAAAAATCATTTCACCACGAACTTACTTTATTCGACTCATCAAATAGTTTTATCAATCCAGTTTGGATGTTTTTCAATTCTTCAATATAACTAATCACTTCAAAATATTCATTGAATTTATCTCTAACAAATTGATTTAAGGAGCTGTAATTATATTTTTTTTGTTAAAATAAATATGAGAAATTACTTGAGAATGGATTCGATTTTCTGGAGTTCAGAAATTACAGTATCATGTAAATGATCAGCATCGGAACGATTTCTGTATAATTCCTGCATTTTTCGACAGTATGATTTAATTCAGCACAAATCAAAAGCTTCTCACTCTATAATAAGTTCGTCAATTGACTATCGTTGATACATTCAAACATTTAATCGATAAATTCATCAATCGATTAATCGTTTGTGTTTCAAAATTTTTAAGCGATATCTAGTGTGTTGATTCATATAACTATCGCTTGCTATAATTAGATAATCAATAAATTTCACGATACCTTTCATGTTGATTTATCTTTACAAAAAATACAACGCATAGTGTTGGAGAAGGATTATCATGGTGCCCAAAGCTGACTAGTGTTGGAGATGGATGAGAGGAAGTTAGGGCGTCCAAACCAAAACGTTGCACCAGTCCTTGAAGTCACTAACTTCTGGTCTGAGCCATGTTTGTTGATACTGTCTATGTTCCAGATGCTATTCATTGGTCCAATCATATTAAACTTCTTTCTCAATCTACTCAAGTGCCGTACAGTCGATGGCTGAACATGCCTGACACATTTCAGGCACACCAAACGGCACAGACTCCCATTCTGATCACGCGATTTATTATCCCCTTAATTCCACTCTTAGTTTATCATTCTTTGTTGCAAAACATTTGTGAGGAAATACTAACCACCATTACTAGTCTATTCACGTACTTACTAGTGTCTTGTCGTTGTTTGTTCATGTCTAGATGAAAGACATTCAATCTCGGCTTCAAGCTGCTAATGAAAACATTGACCAGTTAAAAAAAGAAAATGCTGAACTACGAGATGCTTGTAAAATTCAGCACGATAAATTAATGACGATAAGATCATTAGCTGCAGTAGGTTTACTGAGAGTTTTTA